GGCCGGTGTCTTGGTGCATTAAAACTCTCCAAGTGATCCTTATCTTGTCTCTTTCTGATGTACAGGGTGATTGGAGAGGTCTTCAAGAACCTAGAGAGTGGTGGAGCCACCATGTGGAGGGAACTTGATTCCTAAATGACTACGAAGGACTTCTTTTCACTCTAACATAAGCAAGAAGCCATCTTTACTGTGTAAAGTCACTCTGATACCAATTTGTTTGTTAATGGTTAGCACACTCTCTCTAATTGTTCCCAATGCAAACTGCTTTCTGTATCTTTTACAGATATTTGTGTTTCTTAACCAAAGTTTTAGCTGGCCCATATTTCTGCACCTCATCAACAGGAGAAAATAAGTTAGATGAAAAGAATGTTTATATTACTGAGAAGTGTAAGACAGGATAGGTAGCTAAATCATATGAATACCCCTTTGAAGGACACTATTAAATATAATCAAATCATAGATTCCATCACCACATTTGGAAAGGGATAGTTGAAGAAAACAACATATAAGTATTTCATATTGATTAAAATAAAAAATATTCTTATTTCATCAAACATAGTTTGATCAAACATGAAAATATACCATGAATGGTCTATGTCAATAATCACTGATCTGCTTCTCATTGTCAAGTGAGATAACCAACACTTAAAAAAAACTGCCTAGTGTTAATTATTTGTTTCACTACAGTAACCATTTCTCTCTCTTTCTCTCTGTCTCTTTCTCTCTGTCTCTGTCTCTCTCTCTCTCTCCTCTTTCTATCTCACTCCATATATATGTGTGTGTGTGTGCATAAAAAGATATGCATACAAAAATATTTATATATTTATGTATGTAAATAATAACATGTTACATACCTTTAATGTACAAATTACAACTTATTTAAACTAAACTAAAATAAAATAAAATAAAATTACCTGGAAACTCTTGTCATCATAAAAACAATTTAATGCTGCTGGAAGCAGGTTCACTTATCCTAGCTGCAAAATCCTGAAAACCCCAGGTAAGTTTTGGGTACTTGGAGACATTGATCTTTTGCAAATTTGAGATGCCAGCACAGCCTGTGTCTCCTTTAAGTGAATCATACAATGATACAAAATAAGATGTGGCAGTCAAAAAGATGTTTGTTGAATACTCTCATTATTCACCTTCCACTAGAAAGGTCACATAAATGAAAGCCTTATACCTTTTTCCCCAACACATCTATTACAAACTCATCAGGTTAGGAGAGGGAGCCTTCACCAGTTAAAGAGGCTGCACACAAAAATTCATAGAAAGGACAGATTTCAATACATCATCTTCAAGAAGTGATACTCTCAGAGATTTGCACCACTGCTCTTTTACAAAATCTTTGATTTGCTTTTGATATGCATTTTCACCCTTTCAAACACAACCAGATCTCAGTATATATCACATTTTTAATGAGAAGAAACAAGCAGGTGTTGATGTGTTATATATAACTGCAACAATTCCAACTACATTTGTCTAATGGGTATGAATATCACTTTTCAACAATACACTAAAGAAAATGAAAAATAGAATAGAAAACCATCCCTGTATTTGGCAACTAGAAAAGATATATTTAAGTGGCAGCTTTCATTTATTTTGGAAGACTGCTGGAAATCAACAACATTTAGAGATTACTGAGAAGACATTAGTGTGAATCAAGCGTGTATTATTAAAAATCTGCATATTATCTAATAATCCATGTTTACCTTCTTGAAAGCATTCATAAGTATGAAATATGTATTCCTTATTATATATTATTGATGGGCATTTATGTTCCTGAAGTCCATGCACATCAAAGTGAAGAGTCTTTTTTTTCTTTTCTTTTTTTTTGGGGGAGGATAGGGATGGAGTTTCGCTCTTGTTGCCCAGGCTGGAGTGCAATGGCGTGATCTTGGCTCACCACAACCTCCACCTCCCAGGTTCAAGTGATTCTCCCACCTCAGCCTCCTGAGTGGATGTGATTACAGGCATGCACCACCACAGCCAGCTAACTTTTTATTTTTAGTAGAGATGGGGTTTCTCCATGTTGGTCAGGCTGGTCTCAAACTCCCCACCTCAGGTGATCCACCCACTTCGGCCTTCCAAAGTGCTAGGATTACAGGCATGAGCCACCGCACTTGGCTGATGAGTCTTTATTATAAATGCTTCAACTACTATTTTATCAAAACATCTATAATCACACTATATGCACTTTTACATGTGGAAAGGTTGACATAGTTATATGATTGTAATCTTTGCTCACCATTATCCAAAACCCCAACTTGTACCAAGTCAATGGCTACAACAAATAAAATCACCACCATCATAATAAACAACAAACCACTTACTAAGTTTGTATTCTCCATAAATAAACTGTTTAGCAGTAGAGGTAGAAAAGTTGTTCAATGTGGTCCATACATTCAAGGAAATTACAGATTATTGAAAGATAAAAATTTGCATGAGAATAATAATTAGCAAGATAAGTAGCCTTTGCAATTTCATCAGTGTCATAGGTTTCCTAACCAAGGGTTATTGACAGAAAGTCTGGACAGATCAGGAAAAGTCAGACCTCATATAAAGATGGGGCACACACTAGGGCAAGTGTGCATATCAGAGAGTGACTGAGGAAGGTAAGCCACTGGCTTCATGGAAACCTAAGTGCTTGGAAGTGGAGTCTCACCATGAAGAATACGGTTGTGGGTGGGACTCTTCTTCCTATCAGATCTTTGGGAACCACTGGGATTAAGTCACATAATGAATGGTCAATAAGGCAAGGACTTAGTTTCTTTATTTTAAAACAAGATCAGAGTGAGACCAGCAGCATGGACACTCATCTAAAATAATGGACAAGTGTCCCTGAGTGCAAAGAATGGAGGGACACAAGCATCAAAAGCCAAGCATAATTTTACATCAATAAATCATTAGTGAAAAACAGCATTTTAAATCAAAGATTTTGACTTCAGTGAGAAGACAGAATTTGAATAGGACTTTGAGGGAAGGACAAAACTTAGTTAAGCACAGTATAGAAATCTGAGAACTGCATGAGCAAGGGTTAGAAGGCAGCAGTTTATATGGGATATCTACGAAGTGTTAACAAAAATAAAATGAAGTAGGTTGCTTGCAAAGTCTGTAGTAAGAAAGTTGAGAGGCTGGTACAATGGAGAGTTTTGATGTTAGAATAAAGTGCGTAACTTAATCAGGTAATGGAAAATCATTAAAATTTTGTGAGCAATGTGCAGATGTAGGTAAAAAGTCTAGAGAATGGAAAATACAGTTGGTCTACAATAGATTAATTTGGGGGTAGAGTCGGTGATATCAAAGAAAATAGAAGTTAATGGGCTGATATGAGAAAGTCATAAAGGATTTAGCAAAGCACATGCTATGTCCTACGCTAGGACATACAGAGTCCTTTCCTGCCAGGACCCTGCATGTCCTGGCATGTTTTCTGCCACGCAGAGGACACGCAGAGTCCTGGCAGGAAAGAGATAATTTAAAGTTATCCCCAAGGATTTGATTCTAGGAAACTGGAAGACTGATGCAATGACTGAAGTGACAAGGGAACAGAAGGGAGCAGAAGATGGGACAGGGTACAGTTGGTGAGATTAGTGTTAGGGATGTGGTATTTTATACAATAGTCTACTTGTCATGAGGCTGCATATTTCCCCTCTGCCTTCAATGGCTAAAGGGGGGCATTTCTTTCATCCCTTGAACTCAAAAAGAAGAATCAGCATTAATAAAGTTTTATAAATAATGAGGAAGAGAAAATGCAATTAATTATTCCCTGATATATGGAATTAGTTGTTCCCTGATATATGGAATAAATAGCTAGATTTTAATACTTTTAATACCAAAATGAACTGCCTGTAAAGAGAATAAAATATGATTTTTCCCTGAGGTCTCATATGAATACATATATTTCCAGTAGCATAAAATTTCTCCATTTTTTCAAAGTCCGGACTCATAAAACATTTAGGTATGTACTAGTAATCTAATTACCATTTAACCCAAAGAAGTAATCATAAGACTTTTCAATCCAGTGCTCTTCACTGCCTTCTACTCCCACTTCAATCCCACCTCAATTCTTTATCTTCAAGTTGGTTAGCTCCGATGCAATAGTTGACTGGTATCACCAGTCTTAATTCAATTAGTTCTCATAAGAATGTAAATAAAATAAAACTATCTTACAAATGGTTACCAAAATGTACCAACGTTCTAAAAACATTGTTACCCAAGAATACCCAACAGTTAAAGTTCATTGGGCCTAAAACAATCACTATTATACACGTATAGAAATTTGAAACATATTAATATTTTCCAGAGTGGGTGAAAGTTTTGAATTTGCTGCAAGGGAAGACCAAGAAACAGGAGAGAGCGCCACCTTTTGTGAAACCTGCTAAGTGCCAAGCACAGTACTGGCAGCTACACACCTTATATCATTTAATCCTCTACCATTTTCTTTTAGTTATGTATTGCTAAGAATACGATGAATTATCTTTATTAAAGTAGCCACTCCATATAATATAACACACCCATTTTAAATGTATAGTTTGATGGGATTTAATAAATGTACATATCCATGCCAACAAAACTGTAATCAAAGTTCTAAGTTCCCCCAAATTTCCCAAAACAACTGTGCTCATATTCAATTTTCCCACAACCCTGGCCCTAGGCAAACACAGATTTGCTTTCTCACAGTATATACTAGTTTTGCCTGGGCTAGAATTTCTTATAAAAGAAACATACAATGTGTGTACTCTTTGGTGTCAGATTACTTTACTCATCATAATGTTTTCTGAGATTCATTCATGTTACTATATAGTTCAGGTTGCACAGTTCATTCTTTGTTATTACTAAGTAGTATTCCATTGTATGAATATACAACAATTTGGTTATCACTCGCTAGTTTTTTGACATTTGGCTTGGTTCCAGTTTTTAACTGTAATGAATAAAGCTGCAATGAACATTTATGTACAAATCCTTGTGTGGATACATTTTCTCTTGGGTAAACACTGAAGTGTGGAATTGCTGGGTCATATGGTAAATGTATATTTCACTTTCTAAGGAACTGCCAAACTGTTTCCCAAAGTGATGATAAAATTTTACACTCCCATCAGATGTTCAAGAATTCCAGTTGCTCCACATCGCTGACAACATTTGGTCTTGTCAGTTTTTTTATTTTTATTTTTAGCTTTTGTAGTGGACAAGTAATGTTGCCTCATTGTGGTTTTAATTGCATTTCTCTTATGATAATGATTATGAAGATTATGATGAGCATCTTTTCATGTATTTATCGGCCATTCAAATATCTTCTTTCATGAAGTTTCAGCTCAAGTCTTTTGAAAGTTTTTGATTACCTAAAAAAATTAATTGGATAGTTAATATTCTTACAGTAGGTTTATAAGAGTTTTTATACATTCTGAATAAAAATATTTGCAAGGACCAGGCGCTGTGGCTCACATCTGTAATCCTAGCACTTTGGGAGGCCGAGGTGGGCAGATCGCCTGAGGTCAGGAGTTCAAGACCAGCCTGGCCACCATTGTGAAAACCCGTCTCTACTAAAAATACAAAAATTAGCCAGGTGTGGTGGCACACGCTTGTAATCCCAGCTACTCGGGAGGCTGAGGCAGGATAATCACTTGAAATCAGGAGGCAGAGGTTGCAGTGAGCCAAGATCGTACCAACTGCCCTCCATCCAGCCTGGGTGACAGAGTGAGACTCCATCTCAGAAAAGAAAAAAAAAGTTTGCAAATATTTTCTCTCACTTTGTGATTTACCACTTCATTTTCTTAAGAGATCTTCCAAAGAACAGAAGTTAGAAGTTTGTTTTCATTTTGATAAAATCTAATATTTTTAATGAATAAATGTGTCCTGTCTAAGAAGACTTTGCTTAACCCAAGGTCATACAGATATTATCCTATGGTTCTTTCTAGAAGTTTTATAGTTGTAGCTTTAGGTTGAAGACTATAATTTATTTTGAATTAAATTTTATAGATGATGTAAAACAAAGCTAATGCTTCATATAGTTTTACATTTGGATGTCCAGTTGTTTCAGCACAATTCGTCGAAAAGATCATCCTTCCCCATTGAATTAATTTGACAACTTTGTAAAAGATCAATTGACCACAAATGTGCGATTTATTTATAGACTGTTCTGTTTATCTGATCTACATTTCTATCTTTAGGCCAGTATCTACTTCCTTAATTACTATGACTGTATAGTAAGGATTAAATTGTGAAATGAGATACTCTATAAGTGCTATGGACTGAACTTTGTCCTTCCAAAATCTATATGTTGAAGCTCTAACCCTCAAGGTGACTATATTTGGAGTAAGGAAGTAACTAAGGTTAAGTGATCATAAGGGCAGGACCCTGATCCACTACGATTAGTGTCTTTTTAAGAGGAGACACCACAGAGCTTGCTCTCTCTCTCTCTTTCTGTCTCTCTCTATCTGTCCCCCCATGTAAGGACCCAGTGGAAAGGCAGCTCTCTACAAGCCAGAAAGAGAGCCCTCCCCAGTAACTAAATCAGCTGACAACTTGATCGTGTACTTCCCAGCTTTCAGAACTGTGAGAAATAGATTCCTGTTATTTAAGCCACACAGTTTGTGGTATTTTGTTTTGGTATCTTGAGTTAAGATAGTAAATTCTGCAATATTATGCCTCTAGTTTACAATCACTTTGATTACCCTATGTCATTTTCATTGCTATGTAAATTTTATTAAAAAGTTACCAATTACTACCAAAAGGAAAGGTGGCATTATTTTGATGATGACTATGTTAAATCTATAAATCAGTTCAAGAATATTTGACATATAATTTCTATTGGCCATTCTGATGCATGAACATGATATATCTCTCTCCATTTGTTTAGGTATCCTTTCATTTATATCTGTAGTGCTTTGTAGTTTTCGGAATATAAATCTTCCATATATAAAAATTTATCCTTAATTATTTTCTGTTTTTGTCATTGTACTTTGCTTACATATAGAAACACAATAAATTTTGTATATTAGTTTGTATTCTAGACTGTGTTAAATTCACTTCAAGTAGCTTTTTGGTAAATCTCTTAGAATTTTCTAGGTATACAATCAAGTAGTCTGTGAATAAAGACCATTCTCCCTATTCCTTTCAAATTGTATGTCTTTTGTGCTTTCTTGTGTGTGTATATGTGTGTGTGTGTGTTGCTTTGTTTTGTCTTGCACTGATTAAGACTCTCAATGTAATGTTGAATATAAGTGATGAGAAAGGAAATTCTTGCTTAGTCTCGATCTCAAGGATATAGTTTTTCACCATTAAATAAAATATTATCTTAAGATTTCCTGATACATGCTCTTTATCAGATTGAAGAAATCCCTTCCATTCCCGGTCTTATGACTGTACCATGAGTGGATATTGAATTTTGTCAATTATTTTTTGCAACTATTATGATTAACACACACACACTATTAACCTCATTTATTGTGGCAATATGGTGATTTTGTATTGACTGGTGAATATTCAACTAACCTTGCACTTTTGGGATAAAGTTCATTGGGTCGTCTTGTATCATACAGTTCATATAATTGCTGAATTTGACTTGATAGCATTTTGTTTAGGAGTTTTGAATCTACATTCTTGAGGAATAGTTATCTATAGTTTGTTTTGGGTTTGTTTGGTTGTTTGTTTTTTTGATAACGTCTTTGTCTTGGGAGTCATGATAATGATGGTTTCAGAGCTGTGTTAGAATACGTTCTCTCCTTCTCTAATATTTGAAAGGGTTCATATAAAATTGGTGTGATTTCTTTCTTAAATGATTGACAGAATTCGCCAGTGAAGCTATCTGGGTCTGGAATTCTTATTTTAGAAACATTTTTTAAATTACCAATTCAATTTTTTAAACACATATATTGCTATTTATATTTTCTATTTATTCTAGTGTCAGTTTTTGGTGATTTCTGTCTTTCAAACAACTTCTGCATTTCATCTAAGTTGTCAACTTTATTGACTTAATGTTTCTTATCATATTGTCTTAATATGCATTTATGAATTCAAGGTCTATAGCAACATCACTTTTCTTTTGTGATGCTGAAATTTTTCCCTTCAGTCTGGCTGGTGCAAATGAATGTCTTCCAGCCCTGTGTGGATTTTGGGGATTGCTCAGCTTGCTGTAACCCAGTGGTTTTTCTTTGCCGAGCCTTTTATAGCTTCCCTCTTCGCAATATCCAATCAGAAACTCATGACGAACCCTAATAGATTTCTAGAGCTCTTTCTCTGTGTTTCTGCCCCCTCTGCACTGCTCTGTATCACAAGTTCTAGCCACCTCATCCTCTTACATTCCAAAATCTGTCTCCTCACCTCAGTGATAAGACTCTTCTCTGTGATTTCTCCTCCCCTTCTCATGGTTTGTTACATGCTTCCTGGCAGAAAGCCATGTGAGTTCGGGTCTTACCTCACTTCCTTCCTTTTCATCAGGGATCTCAGTTGTGTGTTGTCTGTTGTCCAACATATAAAAACAATTATTTCGTATAGTTTGTCCAGGTTACCTGTTGTTTGTTTGAAGTAAGCGTACGTTTAGCACCAACTAAACTGCAATGACCAGAAAAAAATAGTGACATATTACAGATGAAGGGCACTGAGACAGAGATTTAATTTTTGCACTGTCCGTAGCTAATAAGTATGACTAAACCTCCAACTAGGTTTTTTCTACTTTACCATGCTGCCTTTCAACTTACTCAACAGATATTTATTGGACACCTGTATAGCATTTTGCTAGACTTGAAAGAAATGTGTTTTATAATCCATTCCCTGAAGCTTACTATCTAATTGGAGTAAAAAGATATTCACATGAAACCAGATAAGGCAGTGAATTATATAATCTGTGCTAGCAAAGTTTAAGGAGGATGGGAGACAATACATTTTGCATAGTTGTTTTAACAGGAGAAAATGATGGCATGTAATTGAAGTATAAACAAAACAGTGAGAGAAAATATAAGAACACCTAGAAAATATAATCCAATTCAATGGTTGACATTCATGAGAACTTTCTGATTCTAATACATCTTGATAGCAACCATAGTGGTTTCATTGGAGCCCTGCAAAGCCATTTTTGTCTTTTTATCTTCTTTGTGACCCCCTAAAGAAGTCTATTTAAGAATTATTTAATATCTCCATCATAAAACAGAGATCCTGAAAGCTCATTTATTTTAATCAGATTAAAGAATTTAGTAGTAAAAAACTCAGCAAATATTAGCTTCAGAGAACAACTTGAAATGTTTTAAAGCAACAGATCCCACAGAAAACAACTAAGGACTCCTAAAAATGTCAATGTAATTCAATCAATTATGTAAGATTTGATTGATTTAAAGATGCATTTCATAATTTGAGATATTGGTATATGAAGAACCCAGCCCTATAAAAATAGCCACTTTGGGAGGCTGAGGTGGGCAGATCACGAGGTCAGGAGATCGAGACCATCCTGGCTAACACAGCGAAACCCCGTCTCTACTAAAAACACAAAAAAGTTAGCCAGATGTGGTGGTGGGCGCCTGTAGTCCCAGCTACTCGGAAGGCTGAGGCAGGAGAATGGCATGAACTCAGATGGCAGAGCTTGCAGTGAGCCAAGATTGTGCCACTGTATTCCAGCCTGGGTGACAGGGCAAGACTCCATCAAAAATAAATAAATAAATAAATAAATAAAATAAAATAAAATAAATAAATGAAGCCATATCCCAAAATGGAGCAAAACGTAAAAGTGGGGAGAGAAGAGTTGGCCTCTAAAATTCATTACTATTAAATGTCAAAATGTATAGCTCATTGCCAGAAACAAGAGATATGCCCAATACATAGCACAGTGCCATGAGTATGGGATTCTTAAAAAAATAGCGCCCATCCCGTATATTGATAATTGCTGTGAAACACACAGAAAGAGACTTTCAGGCTATTTTCCAGGTCTGTTTTGTGTTTCCTGAATTTGCAGCTTTTCTAGGTGTTACATGTAGACTGTTTTTCTTTTGTTTTCCAGCTCTCTAGTTGTTTCTAGGTGTTGGGAGTTATTTGATTCTAACTAAAAGTGAAAGTGGTTTATTGACCTTCAGGCACACAGACACACAGAATTATTATTTGTTCTTGGAACATATCAGTCTATTATTATTTACATAAGACAAGAAAGAATTCCAAAGTGGAAGTAAAGAGAGGAAAACTAAAACGTACATAAAAATGGCTCCTGGAAGACCCATCTCAAGTGCAGAGACACACATAGGCTCAAAATAAAGGGATGGAAGAAGATCTACTAAGCAAATGGAAAACAAAAAAATCAGGGCTGCAATCCTAGTCTCTGATAAAACAGACTTTAAACCAAGAAAGATCAAAAAGAACAAAGAAGGTCACTACATACTGGTAAAGGGATCAATTCAACAAAAGGAGCTGACGATCCTAAATATATATGCACCCAATACAGGAGCACCAAGATTTATAAAGCAAGTCCTTGGAGACCCACAAAGTGATGTAGACTCCCACACAATAATAAATTCCCGGTCTTATGACTGTACCGTGAGTGGATATTGAATTTTGTCAATTATTTTTTGCAACTATTATGATTAACACACACACACTATTTACCTCATTTATTGTGGCAATATGGTGATTTTGTATTGACTGGTGAATATTCAACTAACCTTGCACTTTTGGGATAAAGTTCATTGGGTCGTCTTG